CAAGATTTACTGCCTCAAAGCAGGCCTCGGTCAGGCCTGATGAGAAGGCAGGAACTCTGTCACAAACTATTTAGACCATGACAGGTCATTTTAACCTAGAAGAGAATTGCTCAGTTCTCTTAATCAGATAATGGACAGAACAATCTTTTCTGTTCGTGATTCATTTGTTGTTTAATTAAGAATGTTTATGCATTTGTTAAATCATAATAATGACTGTCACAAAGAAAGTGGAATCATTTCTACTCTTTTATCGTGCCTAAAAGATTAATTAATGGTATAAAAATCACAGAGAAAATCATTACCATGTTTTCATTGTGTTTTTATATAAATCACTGTTTTTATTTTACTAGAAACATCAGTAATATAATTTTGAGTTTTCTTGAGAAAATCTTTCATTTATCTGGACTAACAAAGGTTCAGACTGATTATTAAAACAGAAATGTTAATTAATCATCATAAATGTTTTACAGTGATTTCTTTTAGAGTCTACCAGAAGGAAAATTGAAAAGAAATATCAGATTCTGTTGTGACAACCACAGAATTTCAACCTTGACTGGCGCCGCTGGCAAGTTTTATCATTTCTTCATTTCTCTGACTCATTCTTAACGCCTGAGGGCGGAACCAAAGTTCGTCCGCTTCTATTACTAACACGGACGTCTTTGGGTGACGGAAGACTTCTTCCTGGATTCCAAACTGGGAAGGAAGGCTGGAGTTTCTCTTCGGAGAAACCAGCTCGGCCCATAGATCTTGGCCATAAGCCAGTTAGGGGGATCTAACGGCCAGGACAGTGGCACGCCGCGACTGTCCATCCGAGACTGAAGTCTCTAAGTGTTTTTCAACTCCCGAGGGGAGGATTTTATTTTGAAAGACCAAACCGGATACTTCAGCTTGAATCTTTCTGGCAAAGATTGAAGCAGATGAAAGTTGCCTAAATAACACTTTTTGCCGAGGAACAGTGAGCGAGCCGAACGAAACGTTCCCTTACTGATCGGAGGTGAGACAGTATCTACCCAGGGTTTGTTTAAGAAGCCATCACCAGGTAACGCTGTCGTGTTCCGGGTGACGTGTCATGTGGAGATCGGAGCACAGATGGGACGTGCTGATCCGGTTGTCACACTTAACAAAATAAGAGTAGTAGAAACACCAACTTTATTTTTCATCCTTTCCTTTGTCTTTATTTGCCAAAACTTAAGCTAAAGAGTGCCAGTAAAATTGTTTGGTTGTTAACATCAGAACTTGACGTTTTACTGTTCTATATGGTAATCTGAGTTTAATGTGAATTAAAATTCGGACGCGAGTTTTACCTCATTTTAACTTTGAAGCTTGTTATAGGAAACCACAATCAGGTGTACTTGTGATCTGTTCAATTTGTGTAAATAAATGATTGCATAGTCTTTTATGAATCAACTTGAACTCGTCTGAACGTTCACTTATTGTGTCACTTTTCACTTTGCACAGTCAAGATATTAAAGTAATGAGAAAATAACTTGGTAAAACTTTCCTCATAACTTTGTTATCAGAATTATGTAGAAAGGCTTATTTAACATAAGTCTAGCTCCCACACACACACACACACACACACACACACACAC